CGCCGTCGGCGGCCTCAAGGGCGCCGTCGGCGGACCTTCTTAATGAATTAATTCTAGAGTCTCGGGAAAATCTTGTCGTCGGCGGGGTCGATGGCACCGTCGGCGCCTTAGTTCAATTCTTCACATTTTGGCCATTTTCGCTCCAAATTCGCTCCTTTTTGCATCTTTTTGCTCCAACAATCTTATTTCATCATTCATGCAACAAAATATCAAAATTAATTTTCTTTAAAGTGTAATATCATAAAAAACAGTATAAAATATGTATGAAAATCTCGACATATTTTCCTCTGATCAATATGTAACATTTAAATTTCAATTTTTACATATATGTCAGCTCACCTAAGGCATAAAAAGATTTATTTCACTTTTTCTGTTGGGATAAGATATACGCCAGTTGATGTAGTATATATATAAATCAAATAGGAGAATGATCGACGAAGCAAAAAAATAGAACGAGAAAAAATCACACCAGAAAAAAACGCGCGGATTTACATGGTTCGACAAATTGCCTACGTCCACGGTGTTGCAGAGGATTTTACTACTTGAGGAATATACACTAGTCGATCATCTCGACTTACAAGAGGAATCTCTCACCTCGGTGCTCTTTTTTCTTCTCTCTCTACACCGAGATACACCGAAGAAACTCTACACCGAGATACACCGAAGAAGATAAACTTATAAGAGGAATAAAACCAATTTTTCTTCAACCACATGTCACCAAGAAGAAGTCAAAAGAGAACAATCTTCTTCTTCTTATTTCTTCTTCCTTCACCACAAGGAGCTACACCTTGCACTGCTCTTTGTCTATCCCAAGGAAACCCGAAGAACTCTTCCTCTATCTCGAGGAAGCAGAAGAAGAACTCAAAATCGTGACTTCACTTAATCTGAAGGTGAACTGTCTCTTATTCTATTCACAACTTAAAGGAAGCGGGAGGAGGCGTCATTTCACGAATATCGCGACATTTCGCGACAGTGGAGCGGGAACAAGTATCGCGACCTTTCCCGATCGAGCAGGAGGCGAGAATAGTTTCATGACAGCAGGGGATCGCAACGTTTCACGATTGGGAGCGGAAGCAAGGTTGGGGTCACGACGTGTGCGAAAGCGAGAAATCAGGAGGTAGATCGGGCTCCAGCTCTAACAATCTTCCACCTAGAGAACGATACACATGCAACATCATTTTCTTCCTCAAACTGATATCCTCCACTGGCGGAGTCACCCTTTTTATTCAAACATGAATCTTCCACCTCTGCAACTCAAAGTGTTGTCTTCACTCCAGAAGACCAACTGAAGTTGTGCACAACTTCAATTTCTCAAGACTAACACCCTCAGTCAACATATCAGTAGGGTCCAAATAGTCTTTCACCTCCAAGCTATATCCTGGATTACTCTTGTCTCTGTTTACAACTCCCACTGCATGAGCAATATCATGTCTCTGTTGAAAGCTTCTTTCAACAAGTCTAGCTTTGTACCTCTTACTGCCATCAAGCTCAGTATTCACCTGTTACACCCACTTGTTGTGTAATGTCTTTGTCCCTTGTGGAGGTTTTGTCAGCTCTCACTTGCTCGAACTTTCATATTGCAAGATTTCTTCATAGCTTTGTAGTTCTCCACCATCTGTTTGTGGAACAATAGAAATGGGTGTCCCAGACCAACTCTCCTCTTCACTTCCATCATCAACAAAACTATGAACTACCAGTAATAGTGCATCATGCACTTCTTCAGATATCACATTTGCGTTATCATTCTCCATTTTCTTGGGATTCCTGCAGTTCCTCTTTATGTGGCCATCCTTGCCACAATTTCAGTAGGTTGTCTGCTGACCAAACTGATTTTGATCTCTCTTTATTTGAGTTTATGTCGTGTCATCTCTATCTGAAATCAACATTCAATGTTGAACTCAAACCTGAGAACTATCCAGAATTTTTTCTGTGCACTTCCTTAGCCAAAATCAAATCATGAATATTATCACATTTCAGTTTAAATTTACCTGCAGAACTGCTAACTGTCATCCTCATGACTTCCCAACTATTTGACAACGATGCCAACAATATCAACGCACTTATCTCATCATCAAAATCAATTTCAACAGTGGACAATTGATTTATGATAGTATTGAAATCATTCAGGTGTTGAGCAACGGAAACACCTTCGGCCATCTTTAAGTTGAATAACTTTTTTATCAAGTACACATTGTTATTCGCTAATGGCTTTTCATATATACTGATAAGATTGTCATAGAATCTACAATCGTCCTTTCCTTGACGAAGTTGTGTGCAACGGACCTCGTTAGCGTCAATTGAATAACCCCCAGAACTTGTCGATCCAACAAATTTCATCCAGCCTCACCCATTCTTTCAGGTATTTTCCCCAATAACAGAAGATGAAGTTTCTTCCCATAGAGGTAGTCCTCTATCTTTATCATTCAATAACCAAAATCTATGTCATTAAACTTATCGATTCCTGATGCTATCACATCGTCTTTGCCCATCGTTTTCTTTCAGCCTCAAACCAAAGCTCTAATATCAGTTGTTGTGAAAACAACGACAATAAAATAAAAAATTGGATCAAGAAAAATCACAAAACAGAAAAAACACAGCGTAACACATAAATTTACGTGGTTCGACAATTTGCCTACGTCCACAGAGTTGCAGATGATTTTATTAGCTTGATGATTACATCCGTCGATCACCTCGATGATTATAAGAAATCTCTCTCTTCTTCTCTCCTCTACTCAAGAGCCACTGCAGAAGAAAAAGTCTGGGAGAACAACAACTGTGATTCTTTTCTCCTTAGAGTTCGGCCCCAGAAATCAGAGATATGGAATCCAATTCCTTCACCCGTATATATAGCACCCAAAGGAGGAGGGAGAGCCATGCAATTTTAATTCTAAAACCGTAAGCAGCACCTTAAAGCCTAGATTAAATCTGGGCTTTTAATTAATGCACTAGAAGCATCGCATCAATTAAGACATGCCTTTTTGGCCCACAAAGGAAATCCTTATTTGCGAATCCAGAAGAAGCAGACGGCGAGAGAATTGATTAGCGAATCCAAGGTAAAAAGCAGCAATGCATTAAGGAAATATTTAAATACATTTAAATATATTCCATAATTGCAAGATCTCTCCAAAAAAAGGAATTGTGGACCGGGCTCCACCTTAACACATTGGATCATATGTTTAATCATTTCAAGAGTAAGACATGATTTGTCCATAGTTGCTAAACCAACAGTTTGACTAGCAACAGTTTTTGTTTAGAATTTAATTGTCAATTTTGTGGATGTGGATGCATTCATTGATAATGGACACAAACATCTTATAATAATTGTAATATTTCTTTACACAGTTGGTTGCAAAATATCCTTAGCCCTCGCAACTAAAACATTGTACACGTTGCATATCTTTTCTTTTGCTTTTCAAATATTTTGTATATACAATTACATTTTTTGTACTCTTGATGGTGCTGAAATATGCTCTACATAAAATGCTGCTTTCAGTGAATTAAATTTTTGAAGCACGCATTCAAACAAAGAAAAGGGTCACAATTCATCAATAACCTGAAATTTAGAATAATTTGTTATCAAAAACTGATCTCTCTCGTTTTGGTTGTAAACTTCTTGGATAGCATAAATTGATTTAGTAGATAACATTGCATAGTCAGCCAATTCACTCAATAATTTTTAAAATACAGAGAATTAACCTTGTATTAAGAGATAGTTTTGGGTGTAAGTAGAAATTACATATTCTAATTAAATGTCTTCGTAAAAACTCTCACATATCTTTAGTTATATTATATGGCATTTAGATTGAAAGCAATCACTTGACTAACATATCATATAATCCATGTCATGACTATTACATATTTATTTTGCCATCGAGCTAATTTAGAAACTTTGTAGGATCATTCTCATCAATCTACTACCATGATTCTTTTCCCATAACAAATAATCAAAAGTAAAATTCCCAAGTAAAATAATTTCTACCAATGAGGCAGATGCCAAAAATATCCAACTTATCGGCTGACATGGTTTTTATGATTAATATGATGCTACAAGAATTCAATTAGCAAATCTCCCAAGGAATGATTGCCAAAAAAAAAAAAAAAAAAAAAAAAAAAGTGTCATCAAAACAGTCTGAATGAACGAGTTCCAAGCCGAGAAATAAAGCTGCATAAAGGTTCATTGAGGGAAACAGACAAGATATGACGTTTTTGGCCGAGATAAGACATTAGATCGGCATGGTATGACATGGATGGGAACCACATAGAGCTTTTGGGAGAGAAGGTTCGCTAAGGGTCCTCGCATTACACCGAGAGAAATGAGGGGTCACGGGCTCGCATGCAAACTTAGAAATGAGACAAAAACGGGATACACACGTTTAAAATTGGAGTGCGTGAAGATAAAAACATAATCATGGGGAACTAGATGACCTAATACTCCATAAGAAGATTTGCTTGCACAGATTGCCTGCCCTCACAAAGTGGGTTAAAGGTCTTATACATGATAATGATTAAATAATTTGCTTAGTTAGATCTACCCTAACCAAAAATTTATAATTATATTCCTAACAAACAAATGTTTAATATTATTCTTATTGATTGGCAGCCATAATTAACGGTTGGATATGTAAAGTATTATCTAAAAGTAAATTTGGTTGATAGGAAACCTTCAACCAAAATGGAAAAAACTTTAGTAAGAAATATTAAACTTAATTTTCCTATTACTTTAATAGTGATAGCCAATCACCACACATTTGAAGGAAAAAACTAGAGGCTGGATGATGCTTCTAGATTTAAATCTAATGTATGAAATCATACCATTTTCAATTAAAAAACATAAAGATTAACAATACAAATCTAAAGAGTGTATCATAGAACAAACAAAAATGAAATACTCCACCTCTCACGCATAGGTACGCACGGACAATTCCAAAATCCTTGTGCCGCCTCTGCAGCTTTGTCATCATAATGCCTGAAGAAGTTACATCCTTAAAAGATAGATTGCTACTGAAAAGCATACGTAACACGATAATTAACTGTAATACAATCATGCGGCGTTTACATACATACCACCCAATTTATATGTATTTACACTATTAACACATAAACTTTACCTTTCACATTTATACCACCTAAATACTTCATATCACATAAAAAATACCACCATTAAACTTCTAAAATGTGAAATACACATTTTTATGCATTGGGAAGGTGGCATGTATACAAAAATTGAACTTTTGGTGTTAGATATGTAAACTTAAGAATTGAGTGGTGAATATGTAAATCTTCCTGAACTCATTTACCTGCAAGGACAGAGGGGTGCACCGAGAGTTTCTTTGTGATCAGCAAGCCCCTGCACAATCAAATGCTCATAGAATAACTCAAGGGAAACTTTCCACAATAATGAGGTGAAAGTAATTTCAAAATAAACAAAATTTTAAATGCTTCATTTCTCGATACCTAAATGATAACGGAGTTAACCCAAAACAAAAATTGAAATAGAAGTATTATTTCTCAATTCAGATAAGATTACAAAGACAACCCTTCAAACGAGAAATAAATGATATGAAACAAAAAACGACACAAGCAAGCACCCCTAAAGTATATCCTAGGGTGGTGGATGTCGGCAAGGTGGTTCGTGATGGTTGGCGGGGGTGGCAGCAGCAAAAAGGAATGATGGTGATAGTGAGGCAAAAATGTATGAATGTCGGGACAACAAGTGAGGAGGCTGTCCCGGATTGGGTTCCTTGATTGGCTTGGGCGGCAGCGGTGCAGTGGGAAGGCTGAGATAGCAAGGAAGAGGTGCGATTTGGGCAGCAACAATGCTAGAAGGGAGGGGAAGGTGGCTGGTAGGCAGAGAACTGCATGAAACAACAACCCAAGTGCTATTGCGGGGCAGCGGCAACGAGGCGGCTAGTCGACCATAAGAGTGGGTGAGGATGATAGTAGGGAGGAAATCGAAGAGGAAACAACACCTAGAAGCAGGATATAGTTGAAACACCATCTGTTGTCGAAAATAGCTCTCTCAAGGAAAAACAAAGACTTCTACATAAATCTAAAATAAAAACTCACCAAAACATGACCCTAATTCAGCAAACACACAAATATATATAATAGCTAATAGATAAATTTGAAAGGGAAGGTTTCCCCTTTGGGAATCATCCAGAAAATGAGGAAGAAGCAACAAAACAAGGAAAACAGATGCTTCAATGATACTTCCCACTTTGATAGCATATGAATAGCTGGACCAGCCTCCTGTTGGACTGGAATACTCTAAGCTGAACCCAATGGCTAGTTCAACCACTCCCCCAAGCCCCGATTGACTTGTTACTCTTCCCTGAGTCCTACGTGCCTCCAAGCTAGTGTCAGTCTCCCGGGGTTGGGGATCTTCGACTTCATTCGTTGAAGCTTTCGGTTCCTTATTTGCAATCCTAGCAGCACCTAGATCCCACTGGTGACTGCATCGTCCTCCAAGATACCTGAGAGTCTTTCCCAATTTACGAGCAAACATCCCCATCGGTCTAGTCCTCTAGGAGTCTGCTACTGAACCAAACTGAACTAAATCTGCATGACTTGCCTCTGCTTCTAACTACTCCCAAAGTAATCCATGGTCAGATTAACCAGATCTGAAGTGGGGGTAACCTTAACCTTCTAACATGATGGTGGCGCTGACGGTAAGGTATTGACCTTAACATATTGAAATGTCCTCTATCATGCATGTCTCATGTCTAGAGGCTGGTGTCTCCATCCTATCATCCCCTGTCATCACCAAAACTAGACCCACCAATGTTGCTCTGCTAGTAAGGGCTCCTATGATCACGGGCTCTGCCAAAGGAAGTAGGATGATGTGTTTGCCCTCCTTGGTGAAGGAATATGAGTTTATGAATCCGTCATGTTGAGTTCCCCAATCAAACTGTCACAGTCTCCCCAACAAAATGTGGCAGGCATGCATAAGGACCACATCGCACCATACCTAATATTGTAGCAGGCTCCCAATTGAAAACTCCACTAGGCAACTCCAATCAAAGCTGACTCTATTCTCCTTCAGCTACGTTAAAAATATGGTTAGGAGTGCCTTTGAGTCATGAGACGCAACTTTTCTACCATCTGAGCAGATGCCACAATCTTACTACTCCCCCCATTGAAGACGAGATTGCATACATTTTCGTTCACCTACTATGTTGTGTTGAAGCCACTGCGGATCCTTTGTAATCTCAACCTGTAGGATCCGTCAAATCACAAGTACCTCTCAATCTAGTGGCAGATGACACATCTCACCCTGTTCCTTAGTTTTCTCATCGCTAATATCCTCAACGGCGCCCTGCTCGGCAAAAGACACAACTCGGCTCATTAGGCAGCTGGAGGCGATGTGCCCAAATTCATGGCATTTGAAACATTTTCTGGCAAGGGCTATAGCAGGCGTGCTACTTTTCTCCAGCTTCTTCTCACTGAGGGTGGCTCTATCCCTATCCGAACTAGCTTTCTCAACCCCCTAAGGTGTGCTCCTGCTGTCTTCAACTGTCGGTGGCTACCTGACTGATGGTGGTCTGCTCTATTTTTCCTGCAGCTCCACTTTCAACGCTAAAGTCTGAACGTTGTCAAGTGACCAATCGGGTTGTAGTTGTACCGCGTTGTCGATAGCGGGCTTCAGGCTCCCCACATAACGGGTTATCGTCTGCTCTTTTGGCTCGACCAGCTCACATTTCATCTACAACTGATTGAACTATGTGGTGAATTCCTCCACTAAAAGATCTCGCTGCTACAAGTGGTGGAGCCTCAGAAACATGTCCTGGTGGTAACGAGGTAGTAGATATTTCATCTGTAGTTCTTTCATCATCTTTTCCCACTTGAAAATTTTATGAAGGCTATCTCTTTTCCTCTGCCTTTGCAATTTCCCAAATAAGGAAGCTCTCTTTTTCAACTTGATGGTTGCTAGTTTCACCTTTCTATCCTCTGATACTTCTTCATACTCGAAAATTCCTTCAACTCTTTGTATCCATTTAATGAAATCATCTGGATTCATACATACAACAAACTCTGGCAAATCTACTTTGATGTCAAAGTCTTTGTGCCCTCCAAATAATATCTCCTCACTGAAATTCTCCCTATGGAAGGGATTTAGATGGCCCTCTTTAAGCCTCCTCTAATACTAGATTCTGAAATGATGTGGTATGTCTTCTTCATTGCTGAAATTCTCCCTATGGAAGGGATTCAGATCCTCCTCTCTTTCTCCCTTTCGACTCCTTGGATCTCGATCGAGGATAACCTCCCTGGGTTATCTTATCAATCTCCGCAAGCCTCTGTTGTAAACATCAAAAGACTCGCCGTATCTCTTCCCGAGAAGGCTCGAGCATATATCTTCTTGGTGACATGATTAGAGTTTGAGATTTGTGAAAGTAGAAAGGTTATTTGGTTGTAGGATGGAAAATTTTTGGGTTATAGCGGATGCTCGGAAACACTAGGATAAGACTAGGCTTAGGGTAGCTTTGATATCAAATGATAACAGAGTTAACCCAAACCATAATAAAAATAGAAATATTATTGCTTAATTCAAATAGGAATACAGTGATGACTCTTCAAATAGGAAATAAATGATAAAAAACATAAAACGCACAAGAAAGCACCCCTAAAGTCTATCCAAGAGTGGTGGAGATCAGCTAGGTGGTTCGGGATGGTTTGCAGTGGTGGCGACAACAAAGGAATGTTGGTGGCAGCGAGGAGGAATTGAAACATGTCGAGTTCAAGATCAGGTTACAACGAAGCATACATCTCACAAGTTGAGCTCGAGTTTAGCTCGAACTCGACTAGACTCATTTACACCCCTAAACCAAAGAAATCAAACATGAATTTAACTAGCGATCACTTAGCATAATAATTCATTATGTGTGCTAAAATTGAAAGAAAACTTATTTGATCAGTTAAAATATTTGATTGATTTGTTCTATTTTCATAAAAAAATCTATTATTAAAATAATAAAATTCCCCAGTGACAATGTCCAACTGCATGAGAAAGGTTGATATGCTAAGTTTGTGGAAACGTTAATAAACACAGACTTTCTTATATTTGTAAGAATAAAAAATGCTTGACTATATGGTATAACCCAAGTTTTCCATAACACTTTGAAGGCAAGGAAGTGACCAATTCTGAACTCTAATTTACACGCCACTATTTTACTAATTTCCCACTGCCCGTCTTTCTTTCAATGAATTAATCAGGCATTGATACTATCATAAGGCTCCTAGAAAGTATTTGAAAATTGGATTTCAAAGGGAGGTGGTTGTGGAATGGTGATGGAAGGCTAATACATGTGGTCAAAGGTGTTTGGAAGGGATTGTGGGGATAAATCTGTTGTTGGACAGCAGATTCAACATCTTCAATGACTGCCCCGGCTGAAATCAGCAAGTTGGATGGTGAAACGATAAGATACAGGCGGCGATTTGGTTCCACCACTTGTTCCTAAACAAGATATAGATATACTACTTGTAAAAGGATGAGGATATAGCACAGGGAAAAGCACAAAACTAGAGAAAAATCTCATAATTCATAAAATCAGCAAAACTGAAAAAATCTAAAACCACAATACAACCTATATAAAGGTCTCTTGAGAAAATAACCTAAGTAGAAACTAGAGAAATAAAAAAGAACTAGAAAGGAAAGAAAAATAAAGGAAACTTGCTGTCAAAATAGAAAAAAAATAAAAGGCAGTTTCTCAAGCCATCTCCCACGATCACGGGAATAACTGCGATCACGCATTAGGCGGGGTTCCGCGATACTACAGAAGCTGGTGCATGTCATTCTCCCTGAGTAGGAATAGTTGCTTCTTCTTCTCTAGAAACACCTGAATCTCACTGTCTGATATTATTTCTCATAAAATACTTACAGAGATTTCCAAAATAGTAGTTCATCATTATAATCTGACCATTTGTTTATGAGTGTGCTACTGAACTGAACTAAAATTTAGTGCAAAACTTACTCCTTAGGGCCTTCCAGAAAGAGTTCAAAATTTTCCCATCTCTATCTAAAGTGACGACATGTTGGATTGCTCTTAATGGCGGCTGCCTTTTGCTGGTATCAATTCCTCAAACTCATCACTTTCTAGGACAAAAAATGTTAGTTCTACTAGTACTTCTCTGAAAACTTGTAGAAAGATAATTCGTACGCCACATCCTTAAATACCTCAGACTTCTTCCAAGATAAGAGTACAACGTGTTTTCCATCTTTTTGATGAAAGAATATATGTTCTTGTAGCCATCATGACCAATTGTACTACCAAGGATGATCTAATAGGGTGTGACACGCATCCATAGGTACCACATCACATCATATTTGCTCTTGGAACTTATCTCCGATAAAAAACTCCACGATACATATCATGTCAACACTGATTTTACTCCCCTTCATCAACTAAGACAACAAATTGACTTCCGAGTAGTGATGCTCAATTTGTCCTCCAGTTGCGTAGATATCACATTTTCACAATTGTCTCCATCTATAATGAGATTGCACTTTTTTTTCCTTCACTGTGCAATGAGTACAAAAATTGTTGTGACGGAGCTATTTTTGCTCTCTTGTAGGCTCAGTTTGAATAACCCATCAAATTATTATCTCTCCCTCATCTGCAAGTAGCCAATACTCCTGTCCATTCTCTTTCTCTGGGTCTTCACTCTCTGCCACCTCCATTGTAGCGTGCTTAGTGAAAGAAATCACCTTTTTGTTAGGACAATCAGATGCAAGTGTCCAAAGTCATGACACTTAAACACTTCTTGACTGGGATGGATTTGGGAGCACTGGTGCACTCCACGTTTTCTCCACTCTGAATTTGTTCTTCCTCTAGAGGGGTTAGCTGGGATGCACCACTAGGTGTGCTCTTGCTTACCGATCTTGTAGCTAAACCCCATTTGAAAGGTCGTCTGCACCTGATATTGTTGGGTTATCTCTCCACCTTCAAAGCTAGGACCTGGACATCCTATAATATCCAATAGGGTTGTAATTGTACCATATCTCCAATGGATGGTCTTAATATCCCCAGATATTTAGCTATGATATTCTCCTAGAGCTCATTAAGTTCACACTTTAATATAAGTTGCTCGAACTCAACAATGTACTCCTTTACTGAGAGATTATATTGATGTAATAGTGAAGTTTCAAGAATATATCATATATGTAATTTTTTTTTGGTACTTACGCTGCATGCTTGTTTCTTCTTAGACAAAGCAGTGATTTTACTTATTCCCACACGTTGGCATAAGCGCTTCAAATTTTCCCACCATAAGGAAGTATTCTTCATCAACTTGATGACCATCAGTTTTACCCTTCTGTCAGGGGGAATATTATTATATTCAACGACTCGTTTCACTATCTGGAGCCCTCGATGAATTCATCTAGATCAATGCAATTATCAAAATCTGATAAATCAATAGTTACTCGAAGATACTGAATTCTCCTCTGATATTTCATATAAAACAGTTAAGATATTAGTTCTTCGTTACTGAAAATTTTCCAATGGAAGGGATTCACTTCCCTCTTAATCTGGTGAGCCACTGTTGTGGCTATGGGTGACCTCACCAGACTGTTTCCTCTAAAATGCAGCAAGCCTCAGTTACAAATTGCTAAGGGTTTTAGGTTTCCGGGGAGTATAGGACTGCAAATCAAGGTTGGACGGGCATAGGTTTTGGTGATAGGTGTATGGGTGAAATTTTGGTAAATGTAGGAAAGTTGGATTGTGAAATTAGGGCTGAGGCTAAGGACAACAATAAGAATGATTTGGGTATAGAGAAGATATATATTTTTTGGAATTTTAGTTTTGGGGCAAGAAAGATAAATCCCTAAAAATTTAGGGCTTGTTGGGCTCTGATACTAAATGATATTGTTCTCGAGCTCCTACAAGTTATTTGGGAAGTATATTTCATAGGGAGGTGGTTGTAAAATAATGAGGAAAAGTTAATGTGTGGTTGACAACGTTTGAAAGGGATTGCGGGGATAAATTTGCTATTGGACAGTAGATTCAACGTTGTCCGTGACTTTCCTGGTTGAAATCAGCAAGTTGGACGGCGAAACGACAAGAAACGGAGTCAGGAGGTTCCACCATCTGTATCTAAGTAAGATATAGATACACCACTAACAAAAGGAAGAGGATACAACACTCCAAAGAGCATAAAACTAGAGAAAAAACTCTCAATTCATTAAATCAGCAAAACTGAAAAATGAAAAACCATAAAACAACATTTACAAAAGTCCCTTGAGAAAATAACCTGAATAGAACGTCCAGTAATAGGAAAGAACCGGAAAGGAAAACATAAAGTAGAAAGAAACTTGTTGTAGAAATAAGAGATGCATCCTTGGGCTATCTCTCGCGATCGCAGGAATAATAGCGAACCCCCGTTAGGCGGGGTTACGTGATACCGCGGAAGTAGGCGCGGTCATTGATCCTTTTGAAGCTATAAATAGAATAAAAACAATGTTATAATATTCTTCTTCATCTATATATCACTCATCTTATGGTCAAGATAAAAGAAATGTAATAAGGGGACAGGCACTCTCAAATAAAAGGAATGGAAAGTACAGAAGATGAATCAGAAGAGCTATTGGAAGGGGGAAAAAAAAAGATTTGCTTGTGAAGAAGAACTTCCCTCCTATATAGTCATCATGGTGGGAAATTTACATATGCAGCACACCATTCTTATGTATTTACATATCTCACACCTAAACTTTCATATTTACATACATAGCACTTTAGTGCTTTAAACCTATGCATGAAAAGATATATTTCACTTTTAAAAAGTTGTAATATTTTTGAAGCAATATTAAATATTTGGGCGCTATGCGTGTAAATTTGAAAGTTTAGGTGTGAGATATGTAAACACATACGAATTGTGTGCTATGTATGTAAATGTCCCAATAATTATTACAAAAACACAATACGAAGATATCTGATTATTTATTAGTTATGAAGCTGAAAGCGCTAAATCAAACAAATGTATGCATTGGATATACCTTAATGACAACAGACGTCACTCCTTTGTCAACACAAAAATATGTCTCGGAGCGCCGCGCATATTGTTCTGAGAACTTCCTCATAATCTCAACAGACTTCTCGGAAGGTTCTACTACAAAATGTTGTAAATTGGAAAACAATGCATAACAAATCAAAATAATTGATGTCATATGTCGTAGAATATAGAGTTACTAACATGTATATAATAAGCCATGTAGATATAGAAGCGATCAAACAATGCACCAAGCATACAATTTTCAAAAAACACAAGCTATCAAACTTAAACAACTATTGACCATCTTGGATGAAAACCATAAAAGATAAAATTAAATTCAAGCAAAAAAAATTTTTGGCATGCAAGAAAATAATGACAAGTTAGAATAATATAAGACACAAATAAATGAAATCTCAAGTAAGAGAAAGAAAACTAGATTGCTGTAAATCTGATAAAACTCAATCATAGTGTAACCAATAACAATAAAGATGATTAGTAGGGGAAAAGAGGAAGTAATAGGAAAGACGTCATCAGAAAAGCAGGCCTCAAATTGTATGAGAAATAGCCTCTCCAAAAATTTCAAGCTTCATACTTAGTCCGAAGGTTCGAATTCAAGAGATAAAATATTTGCACATTCAAATTAAAATTTTATTCAGCCAAACATGATTTCAAATGTCTCTGGTGCCGTTATTTAAACAAAGAAGTACATACATACCACTCAATTTCTATGCAATTATATCTAACACCTAAACATCAATTTTTACTTACATGTCAATTTACTATGCATTAAAATGTGGATTTCACTTATTTTAAGTTAAAATGGGGGAATTTTTACGTGATATGAGGAGTTAGATATATAAATATAAAACACTGGGTGGTATGTATGTAAATGCCCCTTATTTAAAAGCACTATAGAACATCAACGAGGAACAAAAAGCTTATCTAAAGAAGCTACTGCCACAGGACTGAATTATAGAAAGCTGCAGCCTGATGATTATTGCTAGAGCCCTATAAGAGTAGTTGAAACAACAGCAATAATAGAGATAAGGATCCACCAAGAGAAAAAACGGCAGAAAGCAAAAAAACCCATAAACAGACAGAAACAACAATAAAAACCACAGATGGAGCTACCAATTGAAACATCAAACATTCACAATCAGAAATTTCAATAAAAAATGATATAATCAACACCAAAAATACGAAATCGGATGGAAGAATGTAACTACGGGTTGAAAGCCACAATAGTAGAAATAGGATTCAAATGCAGGTAAAAACAAATGTCCACAAACTCAATCAACTCATTACAACAAAAAATCAAAATCAAAATTTAACACAAAAAGTTCGCATTTCTAAAAATTGAAGAATTTAAGATCCATTATGTTGTTATCACAACATCATGATCTATTCTACAAAACCATACATCATGAGCATGCAGAGAGCATTTAAATTTATTGTTTTAGGGTATGATGCAAAGCTTAATTCATTCATAAGTTAGATATATGAAATTTATTTTTGGAACATAGTGATCAATTTCTTTTTCTGCTTGCATTCCCACTTAACTTTCAAACAATCTTCCCAATTCTCAAATAAATAAATAAATAAATAAACAAAATCATGACAAGGATTAGAATTAGCAACATTAATAAATTTTTTCTATGGAATAATGGACCTTGCATCACACCATTAAGAGTTTTCACCTTCTTTGAGCAGTTATTATCGATTAATTTCAATAAAAGCCAATGTAAAACACTGTACAAAGATAGACTTCAAGCAGGCGCTTAATTTGGCATCTTAGCCATTTTATTCATAAAAACATATATAGACATGGATTTTGCTTAAGCTCCTGAAATATTCCACTAATCTATAAGCTAAAAAGGAAAGAAACTGAATGAATTTTTCTTAAAAAGCAACTGAAACAAATAAAGACTACAGAGTTAACTTGCTAAAATATTCAGAAGCTGGTAGATTAAAATCAATATAGCAGCGTTCCCATAATAATTGTAACCTCAAATCTACACTTATAATTAGAATTTCATCAAGAACATAACGTTCTTGCATGAAACTACATATATTTCAGACTCCATCCTGCTCTTCCCGATTAACATTTCATCCTCAATACTAAGAAGTATCAAACAAGAAAAGAACTAATCCATATTCGTTCACACTAAAAAAAAAAAG